CTCCTGCGTACCAGGCGAGGTAGTCAACATCTCACCACGTGGAGAGAGAGAGACACAGACTCCATCACAGTCACGACCTCCTGCGTACCAGGCGAGGTAGTCAACATCTCACCACGTGGAGAGAGAGAGACGCAGACTCCATCACAACCACGACCTCCTGTGTACCAGGCGAGGTAGTCAACATCTCACCACGTGGAGAGAGAGAGACGCAGACTCCATCACAACCACGACCTCCTGTGTACCAGGCAAGGTAGTCAACATCTCACCACGTGGAGAGAGACTCAGACTCCATCACAATCACGACCTCCTGTGTACCAGGCGAGGTAGTCAACATCTCACCACGGGGGAGAGAGAGAGAGACTCAGACTCCATCACAGTCACGACCTCCTGCGTACCAGGCGAGGTAGTCAACATCTCACCACGTGGAGAGAGAGAGACTCCATCACAATCACGACCTCCTGTGTACCAGGCGAGGTAGTCAACATCTCACCACGTGGAGAGAGAGAGACTCCATAACAGTCACGACCTCCTGTGTACCAGGCGAGGTAGTCAACATCTCACCACGGCGAGAGAGACGCAGATTCCACGTGTACAACAGCAGGCAGGCATCGTCTGGCTAAGAACCCACGACCTCCCGTACACCAGGCGAGGTAGTCAACATCACCTAGGCACCGCAGCATCCCAATGCTGAACCGCCCAGATGTTTATAGGCAACGCACACAGACAAAGATCCCCTGTGTGGCCTCAACAGACTGTAGGGGCAAGTGCTGTTAGTAACATAACGTGATTGATCAATAGGGAGCTATTCCTCGACCGCACCCAGGCATCGATCAGCCTCCCATTATATCTGTACCAGATGGAAATTAACTCCGGTACAGCCACGGAAGGCGTCACGAACTTACGTGGTCGAAGATGATGTTAAATCATGTGGGAGCCAGAGGACATCCCTGTCGCACCCCAAGGTGAACAGGGAATGGCTCCGACTCCCGGCCACGTAGCTTGACTCGCACACACTGACACGCACACTCACACACGGACACTAACACACACATAATCACACACTCACACAATCACACACTCGCACACACATAATCACACCTACTCACACTCACACACTCGCGCACACTCTGTCACACACAATCACACACACACTCACACACTCACTCGCACACAATCACACATACACTCACACACACTCACACACGCTGTCACTCTCACGTACACACACACTCACACAACAAGAACAACAACCGCCATTCGCCACTAAGTGGCGGTGACGTCACCACGACGCTTGTGCCAGGCTATGTGCACCCTGAGGCCACGTGAAGTGTCGAACGCCCGCTGGCAGGAGGTCACAGGGCAGACCCAGGTGCCACGGGTCGACTGACTGAGATGAGTGGCTGATGCACCACCTGTGCTCCCTATTGTGCCAACCTGCTGTGCTTTAGCCACCCGGCGCTCCGCTCGTTGTTGTGAGCGTCGCTCCTCCGCCCTCCGTTGTTGTTGGAGGGCGGCTGCCTCCAACTGCCCAGTAGCATCCTTCACGAGCCTCCTCCACAGAGGCCGATCTTGACACCGCTGGTACCGGTCATCGGCAAGTCCACTCAGCTCCACGTCCTCCTGTACCACATCACTCCATCTCTTCTCTAGCCCGTGCCGCGCCCGTTTAGCCCCCTCGATCCGGCCGAACAAAAGCTGTTTCGGCATGCGGTGGCTGGGCATGCGGGCTACATGACCCAGCCAACGCAGCCTTGCCCGCCGGAGGAGCTCACTGATGGGACCTTGCCCAGATCTTTCAAGGATTTGTGAGCTCCTCACACAATCCAGCCTGGTTAAACCCAGGATGGATCGTAGGCAGGCCAGCCTAAATGTTTCTAACCGGCGAAGATGTTCCATTAGAGGGGGGTCCACGTTTCGTAAGCGTAGAGAAAGGGAGGGAATGAGCGTGGCCGAGAAGACCTGAAGCTTAGTGCGGAGCGACAGACCAGGTAGCTTCCACACAGCGTTACGCAACCGATGAAAAGATATTGCCGCTCACACACATACACTCACGTACTCTCTCACACATACACTCGCACGCTCTCACTCACATCCCCCACATCGCCAGTAATGTCTCAGTGTGACTCACACGCATTACGCACGCACAGACGCACACACACACACAGCGCATTACACACACACACACAGGGCATTACACACACAGGGCATTACACACACACACAGCGCATTACACACACACACACACAGCACATTACACACACACACAGCGCATTACACACACACAGCGCATTACACACACACACAGCGCATTACACACACACACAGCGCATTACACACACACACACACAGCGCATTACACACACACACACAGGGCATTACACACACACACAGCGCATTACACACACACACAGCGCATTACACACACACACACAGGGCATTACACACACACACAGCGCATTACACACACACACAGCGCATTACACACACACACACACAGCGCATTACACACACACAGCGCATTACACACACACACAGCGCATTACACACACACACAGCGCATTACACACACACACAGCGCATTACACACACACACACAGGGCATTACACACACACACAGCGCATTACACACACACACAGCGCATTACACACACACACACAGCGCATTACACACACACAGCGCATTACACACACACACAGCGCATTACACACACACACAGCGCATTACACACACACACAGCGCATTACACACACACACAGCGCATTACACACACACACAGCGCATTACACACACACACAGGGTATTACACACACACACAGCGCATTACACACACACAGCGCATTACACACACACACACACAGCGCATTACACACACACACAGCGCATTACACACACACACATCACATTACACACACACACAGCGCATTACACACACACACGCATTACACACACACACAGCGCATTACACACACACACAGCGCATTACACACACACAGCGCATTACACACACACACAGCGCATTACACACACACACAGCGCATTACACACACACACACAGCGCATTACACACACACACAGCGCATTACACACACACACACAGCGCATTACACACACACACACAGCGCATTACACACACACAGCGCATTACACACACACACAGCGCATTACACACACACACAGCGCATTACACACACACACAGCGCATTACACACACACACAGGGTATTACACACACACACAGCGCATTACACACACACAGGGCATTACACACACACACAGCGCATTACACACACACACAGCGCATTACACACACACACAGCGCATTACACACACACAGGGTATTACACACACACACAGCGCATTACACACACACAGCACATTACACACACACACGCATTACACACACACACAGGGCATTACACACACACAGCGCATTACACACACACACAGGGCATTACACACACACAGCGCATTACACACACACACAGCGCATTACACACACACACAGCGCATTACACACACACACACAGCGCATTACACACACACACAGCGCATTACACACACACACAGCGCATTACACACACACACAGCGCATTACACACACACAGCGCATTACACACACACACAGCGCATTACACACACACACAGCGCATTACACACACACACAGCTGTCTTCTGTAGCCTCTAACGGACTGTAGGGGCAAGTGCTGTTAGCGAGTTGCAGCACTTGTGAATGCTGGAACTGTGGCACACGATGGGGTGGGTGGTAGTGTTGGTGGTGAGTTGTGGTGGTGGTGATGTGGTGGAGGTGGTGGTGAGGTGGTTGTGATGGTGGTGGTGTTGAGGTGGAGGTGGTGGTGAGTTGTAGTGGTGGTGGTGTGGAGGTGGTGGTAGTGTGGTGGTGAGTTGTGGTGGTGAGTTGTGGTGGTGGTGGTGTTGAGGTGGTGGTAGTGTGGTGGTGAGTTGTGATGGTGGTGGTGTTGAGGTGGAGGTGGTGGTAGTGTGGTGGTGAGTTGTGGTGGTGGTGGTGTTGAGGTGGAGGTGGTGGTAGTGTGGTGGTGGTGTTGAGGTGGAGGTGGTGGTAGTGTGGTGGTGAGTTGTGGTGGTGGTGGTGTTGAGGTGGAGGTGGTGGTAGTGTGGTGGTGAGTTGTGGTGGTGAGTTGTGGTGGTGGTGTTGAGGTGGTGGTAGTGTTGGTGGTGAGTTGTGGTGGTGTTGAGGTGGAGGTGGTGGTAGTGTTGGTGGTGAGTTGTGGTGGTGGTGTTGAGGTGGAGGTGGTGGTAGTGTGGTGGTGGTGTTGAGGTGGAGGTGGTGGTAGTGTGGTGGTGAGTTGTGGTGGTGGTGGTGTTGAGGTGGAGGTGGTGGTAGTGTGGTGGTGAGTTGTGGTGGTGGTGTTGAGGTGGAGGTGGTGGTAGTGTGGTGGTGACCCCTACTGGCAGCAGGCCGATGCACAGGGGTGACGCGGCAGAGCGAAAACTAAACCCCCCCTCTCTCCCCCCTCCCTCTCCCCCCCTCCCTCTCCCCTCCCTCTCATCTCCACCTATTCCCTCTTCTCACCATCTTCACCACCCCCCTCTTCCCACCACCACCACCCACCACCACCACCCTCCACCACCCACCACCCACCACCACCAACCCCCCCCCTCCACCACCTCCACCACCCACCACCACCACCCCCCTCCACCACCACCCACCACCACCCCCCTCTTCCCACCACCCACCACCACCACCCACCACTACCACCCCCCTCCACCACCTCCACCACCACCCACCACCACCCCCCACCTCCACCACCACCACCCACCACCACCACCACCCCCCTCCACCACCACCACCCCCCTCCACCACCTCAACCACCTCCACCACCACCCACCACCACCCCCCTCTTCCCACCACCACCACCCTCCACCACCTCCACCACCCTCCACCACCACCCACCTCCACCCCCCTCTTCCCACCACCACCCACCCACCCACCCCCACCCCTCTCCCGCCCGACCCGCCAGAGCCGCATGGCGGAGAGCCTCCGCCTCTTCGACTCGATCTGCAACAACAACTGGTTCGTGAGCACGTCGCTCATCCTCTTCCTCAACAAGAAGGACCTGCTGGCCGAGAAGATCCGCCGCGTGGCCCTCTCGGTCTGCTTCCCCGACTACCCGGGCCAGGACACGTACGAGGAGGCCGCCGTGTACATCCAGCGGCAGTTCGAGGACCTGAACCGCAACAAGGAGGCGAAGGAGATCTACTCGCACTTCACGTGCGCCACGGACACCAGCAACATCCAGTTCGTGTTCGACGCCGTCACCGACGTCATCATCCAGAACAACCTCAAGTACATCGGCCTCTGCTGATCTTTCCACCCGCTTGGAGCGAGCAGCGCCGCCTCGCCTCGCCCCGCCCCGCCTCGCCTCGCCCCGCCCTCGCCCGACGGCTTTGCTTGTTTTTATTTTTTTTTTCGTTTTGTTCTTGCCGGGGTTGGGTGGGGGGTGCGGTCGTTGGTCTCGGTCGAGTTTCGGTCGATTCGGGCCGGGCCAGGGTGTCGGTCGGGGGTTGAGTTGGGCGACGGGGTCGGTCCGGTCGATCGGTCCGTCGATCCGTCGGTCGGTCGATCAGTCCGTCGATCCGTCGTTCGGTCGATCGGTCGATCAGTCCGTCGATCCGTCGGTCGGTCGATCGGTCGATCGGTCCGTCGATCCGTCGGTCGACATCGGTTGGATTTGGTTGCTCGGTCGGTCGACAGATCCGGTGGGGTTTGGTCGGTCGGTCAATCGATGGGGTTGGGTTGGGTTGGTTAGGTGTGGTTGGATCGGTGGGGTTGGTCGGTGCCGGGTGTGTGTGGTGTGTGTGCGTGTGTAGTGTGTGTGGTGTGTGTGTGTGGTGTGTGTGGTGTGCGTGGTGTGTGTGGTGTGTGTGGTGTGTGTGGTGTGTGTGATGTGTGGTGTGTGTGTGGTGTGTGTGGTGTGTTTAGTGTGTGGTGTGTGTGATGTGTGGTGTGTGTATGTGTGTGGTGTGTGTGTGTGGTGTGTGTGGTGTGGTGTGTGTGTGGTGTGTGTGTAGTTTTGTGTGGTGTGTGTGTGTGGTGTGTGTGTGTGGTGTGTGTGTGTGGTGTGTAGTGTGTGGTGTGTGTGTGGTGTTGTGTGTGTGTAGTGTGTGGTGTATGTGGTGTGTGTGTGTGGTGTGTGTGTGGTGTGTGTTGTGTGCGTGTGTGTGTGGTGTGTGTGTGTGTGGTGTGGTGTGTGTGGTGTCGTGTGTGTGTGTGTGATGTGTGTGTGTGGTGTGTGTGTGGTGTGGTGTTGTGTGGTGTGCGTGTGCGTGCGTGCGTGTGCGTGCGTGTGGTGTTGTGTGTGTGGTGTGTGGTGTGTGTGGTGTGGTGTGTGTGGTGTGTGTAGTGTGTGGTGTGTGTGGTGTGTGGTGTGTGATGCGTGTGTGTGTGGTGTGTGTGGTGGGTGGTGGGTGTGTGTGGTATGTGTGTGTGGTGTGTGTGGTGTGTGATGCGTGTGTTTGTGGTGTGTGATGCGTGTGTGGTGTGGTGTGTGTGTGTGGTGTGGTGTGTGTGTGGTTTGTGTGTGGCGTGGTGTGTGTGTAGTGTGTGTGGTGTGTGTGTGGTATGTGTGGTATGTGTGGTGTGTGTTTGTGGTGTGTGTGGCGTGTGTGTGGTGTGTGTGGGGTGTGTGTGGTGTTTGGTGTGTGTGGTGTGTGTGTGGTGTGTGTGGTGTGTGTGTGGTGTTTGGTGTGTGTGTGGTGTGTGTGTGATGTGTGTGGTGTGTGTGGGGTGTGTGGTGTTTGTGGTGTGTGTGTGTGTGTGGTGTGTGTGTGTGTGTGGTGTGTGTGTGGTGTGTGTGGGGTGTGTGTGGTGTGTGTGGGGTGTGTGTGTGGTGTGTGTGGGGTGTGTGTGGGGTGTGTGTGGGGTGTGTGTGTGGTGTGTGTGTGGTGTGTGTGTGTGTGTGGGGTGTGTGGGGTGTGTGTGGTGTGTGTGTGGTGTGTGTGGTGTGTGTGTGGTATGTGTGGTGTGTGGTGTGTGTGGCGTGTGTGTGGTGTGTGTGGGGTGTGTGTGGTGTTTGGTGTGTGTGGTGTGTGTGTGGTGTGTGTGTGGTGTTTGGTGTGTGTGATGTGTGTGGTGTGTGTGGTGTTTGTGGTGTGTGTGTGGTGTGTGTGTGGGGTGTGTGTGTGTGGTGTGTGTGGGGTGTGTGTGTGTGGTGTGTGTGGGGTATGTGTGGGGTGTGTGTGTGTGGTGTCTGTGTGTGGGGTATGTGGGGTGTGTGTGGGGTGTGTGTGTGTGGTGTGTGGTGTGTGTGTGGTGTGTGTGTGGTGTGTGGTGTGTGTGTGTGATGTGTGGTGTGTGTGGTGTGTGTGGTGTTTGTGGGGTGTGTGTGTGTGGTGTGTGTGTGTGGTGTGTGTGTGTGGTGTGTGTGGTGTGTGTGTGTGGTGTGTGTGTGGTGTGTGTGTGGTGTGTGTGTGGTGTGTGTGTGGTGTGTGTGTGGTGTGTGTGTGGGGTGTGTGTGGGGTGTGCACGACACCCGGCACTCGCTGCTACTGTTTCTGTTGCTGCGTCCGACCCGGCTACCGCCGGTGAAGATGATTGGTGGTGACGGTGGTGGTGACAGTGGTGGTGACGGTGGTGGTGACAGTGGTGGTGACAGTGGTGGTGACGGTGGTGGTGACAGTGGTGGTGACAGTGGTGGTGACAGTAGTGGTGACGGTGGTGGTGACGGTGGTGGTGACAGTGGTGGTGACGGTGGTGGTGATGGTGGTGGTGACGGTGGTGGTGACAGTAGTGGTGACAGTGGTGGTGACGGTGGTGGTGACAGTGGTGGTGACAGTAGTGGTGACAGTGGTGGTGACAGTGGTGGTGACAGTGGTGGTGACGGTGGTGGTGACAGTGGTGGTGACGGTGGTGGTGACAGTGGTGGTGACAGTGGTGGTGACGGTGGTGGTGACGGTGGTGGTGACGGTGGTGGTGACGGTGGTGGTGACGGTGGTGGTGACGGTGGTGGTGACGGTGGTGGTGACGGTGGTGGTGACGGTGGTGGTGACGGTGGTGGTGACAGTAGTGGTGACGGTAGTGGTGACGGTGGTGGTGACGGTGGTGGTGACGGTGGTGGTGACGGTGGTGGTGACGGTGGTGGTGATGTTGGTGGTGATGTTGGTGGACGGTGGTTATGGTGTTGATGACGGTGAAGCTAACAGCCACAAAATGACAATGAACCACCAGCCTCCTTTGAAGATGGCTACGGTGGTGACTACGGTGGTGACTACGGTGGTGGCTACTACACGGACTACGGTGGTGACTACGGTGGTCGCTGCTACACTGACTACGGTGGTGGCTACGGTGGTGACTACGGTGGTGGCTACGGTGGTGGCTACGGTGGTGGCTACTACACTGTCTACGGTGGTGGCTGCTACACGGACTACGGTGGTGACTACGGTGGTGACTGGTGGTGGCTACTACACTGACTACAGTGGTGGCTACGGTGGTGGCTGCTACACTGACTACGGTGGTGGCTACTACACTGACCACGGTGGTGACTACGGTGGTGGCTACTACACTGACCACGGTGGTGACTACGGTGGTGGCTGCTACACTGACCACGGTGGTGACTACGGTGGTGGCTACTACACTGACCACGGTGGTGACTACGGTGGTGGCTACTACACTGACTACGGTGGTGGCTACTACACTGACTACGGTGGTGGCTGCTACACTGACTACGGTGGTGACTACGGTGGTGACTACGGTGGTGGCTACGGTGGTGGCTACTACACTGACTACGGTGGTGGCTGCTACACGGACTACGGTGGTGACTACGGTGGTGGCTGCTACACGGACTACGGTGGTGGCTGCTACAATGACTACGGTGGTGGCTACTACACTGACTACGGTGGTGGCTACTACACTGACTACGGTGGTGGCTGCTACACTGACTACGGTGGTGGCTGCTACAATGACTACGGTGGTGGCTACTACACGGACTACGGTGGTGGCTACTACACTGACTACGGTGGTGGCTACTACACTGACTACGGTGGTGACTATGGTGGTGGCTACTACACTGACTACGGTGGTGGCTGCTACACGGACTACGGTGGTGACTACGGTGGTGGCTGCTACACTGACAACGGTGGTGGCTGCTACACGGACTACGGTGGTGACTACTACACTGACTACGGTGGTGGCTACTACACTGACTACGGTGGTGACTACGGTGGTGGCTGCTACACTGACTACGGTGGTGGCTGCTACACTGACTATGGTGGTGGCTACTACACTGACTACGGTGGTGGCTGCTACACTGACTACGGTGGTGACTACGGTGGTGGCTACTACACTGACTACGGTGGTGGCTACTACACTGACTACGGTGGTGACTACGGTGGTGGCTACTACACTGACTACGGTGGTGGCTACTACACTGACTACGGTGGTGACTACGGTGGTGACTACTACAATGACTACGGTGGTGGCTGCTACACTGACTACGGTGGTGGCTGCTACACTGACTACGGTGGTGGCTACGGTGGTGGCTACTGTGGTGACTACGGTGGTGACTACGGTGGTGGCTACTACACTGACCACGGTGGTGGCTGCTACAATGACTACGGTGGTGGCTACGGTAGTGACTACGGTGGTGGCTACTGCTCCATTGATCACGTTGGTGGCTGACTATTGCGGTGGTGGCATCTTCTACCCTGAGATGGAGCTCCATCTCACCGTGGCACGGAGCTCCGTCCCCACCGTGGCACGGAACTCCATCTCACCGTGGCACAGAGCTCCATCTCACCGTGGCACAGAGCTCCGTCCCCACCGTGGCACGGAGCTCCATCTCACCGTGGCACGGAGCTCCGTCCTCACCGTGGCACGGAGCTCCATCCACCTCCGTGGCACGGAGCTCCGTCCCCCACCGTGGCACGGAGCTCTGTCCCTCACCGTGGCACGGAGCTCCGTCCCCCACCGTGGCACGGAGCTCCGTCCTCACGGTGGCACGGCACTCCATCCACCTCCGTGGCACGGAGCTCCGTCCCCCACCGTGGCACGGAGCTCCGTCCACCTCCGTGGCACGGAGCTCCGTCCCCCACCGTGGCACGGAGCTCCGTCTCACCATGGCACGGCGCTCCATCCACCTCCGTGGCACGGAGCTCCGTCTCACCGTGGCACGGCGCTCCGTCCACCTCCATGGCACGGAGCTCCGTCCCCCACCATGGCACGGAGCTCCGTCCCCCACCGTGGCACGGAGCTCCGTCCCCCACCGTGGCACGGAGCTCCGTCCCCCACCGTGGCACGGAGCTCCATCCACCTCCGTGGCACGGAGCTCCGTCCACCTCCGTGGCACGGAGCTCCGTCCCCCACCGTGGCACGGAGCTCCGTCCACCTCCGTGGCACGGAGCTCCGTCCCCCACCGTGGCACGGAGCTCCGTCCACCTCCGTGGCACGGAGCTCCGTCCCCCACCATGGCACGGAGCTCCGTCTCACCGTGGTGGAGCGCTAGCGGTGGCGAGCGGCGGTGATGTTTTGTTGCCATTGGGCCAAAGGGTCTCCTTGAAGATTCCCCTCCTCCTGATTCCCCTCCTCCTCCTCCTCCTGATTCCCCTCCTCCTCATCCTCATCCTGATTCCCCTCCTCCTCATCCTGATTCCCCTCCTCCTCATCCTGATTCCCCTCCTCCTCCATCTACCCGCCGCCACCTGGAGCTCTCTCAGCCGTAGCGAGCGGCTGACTCCCAACGCCGCTGGTGGTGGTGGTGGCGGATCTCCTCCGCCAGATACCAGATGATGTTGTTGTTGTTGATGTTGTCGTTGTTGTTGTTGTTGTTGATGTATCCTCCTCTCCCCCCCCCCCCCCCTACATTCCCCCGGTCCATTGACGGCGGTGGTGGCGATGTGGTGGTGGTGGTGGTGGTTGTTGTGTCGGTGGTGGTGGTGGTGGTGGTGTCGGTGGTGGCGCTAAACGTGGTACGGCAAAGGCTATAGGGAAGAGATGGAGCTGATGAGAGGGTGAGCGGGTGGGTGAGCGGGCGAGCGGGTGAGCGGGCGGGCGGGTGAGCGGGCGGGCGGGTGAGCGGGCCGGTGAGCGGCTGGGTGAGCGTCAAGGACTGGTGAAGAGTTGGGGAGCTGATGGGCGGGTGAGCGGGTGGGTGAGCTGATGGGCGAGCGGGTGGGTGAGCGGGTGGGTGAGCGGGTGGGTGAGCTGATGGGCGAGCGGGTGGGTGAGCGGGTGAGCGAGCGTCAAGGGCTGGCGAAGAGATGGGAGCTGATGGGACCTTGCTGGACATCTGTGAACGAGAGCTTTACAGTTTTTCGGATTTCTCCCGCGGTCTGAATAAATATTCCGATTCTGATTCCGGAATTTGCCGATGAGCGATATCGGCGTTGTCAACATCGGCCTCTGTGGAGGAGGAGGAGGAGGCTCGTGAAGGACGCTGCTGCTGCTACTGGGCAGTGCCAGGCTAGGTGCACCCTGAGGCTACTGGGTAGTTGGAGGCAGTCGCCCTCCAGCAACAGCGGAAGGGCGGAGGAGCGACGCTCACAACAACGAGCGGAGCGCCGGGCGGATTAAGCGCAGCGTGTTGGCACAGTACGGGGCACAGCGGGTGTGGTGCACCTAGCCTGGCACAGCGGGTGTGGTGCATCAGCCACTCATCTCAGTCGATCAACCCATGGCACCTGCAGGGTCTGTCCCGTGACCTCCTGCACCTAGCCTGGCACAGCAGTCAACCCATGGCACCTGCAGGGTCTGTCACGTGACCTCCTCCTCCTCCCACACCTTGCCTGGCACCGTCACCGTGTTTACGTCACTGCCACTCAGTGCAAACGGCGGCTGTTGGTGGTGGTGGTGGAGGTGGTGGTGGAGGTGGTGGTGGATGTGGCGGCGGTGGTGGATGTGGTGGTGGTGGTGGTGGTGGCGGCCGTGAAGACGGTTGTGGTGGTGGTGCCACAGCTCAGGACTCCGCCGCCTTTCCACCCATCCTGCGAGGTTGAAGGCTACACTACACTGTACACTACACTATACACTACACTACACACTACACTGTACACTACACTCTACACTACACTACACACGCAAAACTACACTATACACTGCACTATACTATACACTACACTATACACTACACTATACTATACAATATACTACACACTACGCTATACACTACACACTACACCATAGACTACACACACTACACTATACACAACACACACTACGCGCTACACTACATCACTACAGGTATACGCTACACTATACACTACTATACACTAGACCAGGGGTGGGCAAATTTTTTGACTCGCGGGCCACAATGGGTTCTAAAATTTGACAAGAGGGGCCGGGCCAGGAACAGATGGATGGGAGAGTTTGTGTGAACTAAGTATAAATGACGTGTTAAAAATCATTACATGAAATGATTTGGCCTTTAACAGGTGGCAAAGTATTTATTTGCAAGGCAATTTAACAAACTGCACGAACATGAACAATACAGAAACAGGTCGTAACTCCCGGTCAAAGTTCGCCATCTAGTGGGGAAATGGGGGCATTGCAGGAGAAAGGTAAAATTTAATTTAATAATAATATTTGGAGAAGTTCGGCAGGACGGATTCAAAAGCCCAAGGGGCCGTACATGGCCCGTTGGGTCGTACTTTGCCCACGTCTGCACTAGACACTACACTATACACTACACTATACACTACTACACTATACACTACTAGACTATACACTACTACACTATACACTACACTACTACACTATACACTACACTACTACACTATACACTACAACTATACACTACTACACCACACTACTACACTATACACTACTAGACTATACACTACAACTACACACTATACACTACTACACTATACACTACACTATACACTACACACTACTACACTATACACTACTACACTACACACTACTACACTACACACTACTACACTATACACTACACTATACACTACACACTACTACACTATACACTACTACACTCTACACTACACACTACTACACTATACACTACACTATACACTACACTACTACACTACACACTACTACACTATACACTACTACACTATACACTACACTACTACACTATACACTACTACACTACACACTACTACACTACACACTACTACACTACACACTACTACACTACACACTACTACACTACACACTACTACACTACTACACTACAACTACACACTACTACACTACACACTACTACACTATACACTACTACACTACACACTACTACACTATACACTACTACACTACACACTACTACACTACACACTACTACACTATACACTACACTATACACTACTACACTACACACTACTACACTACAAACTACTACACTACTACACTACAACTACACACTACTACACTACACACTACTACACTATACACTACACACACTACGCTATACACTATACACTGCACTATACACTACACTATACCCGACACTACACTATACACGACACTACACTGCACTATACTATACTACACTATACACTACAATATACACTACACTATACACTACACACCACACCTCTGTATTCATCCGATTAGCATGGTTGGCTACGTACTGTGCCAAATAAGTTCAACGTGCATAATATGCTACGCTATACACTACACTACTCTATACACTACACTACGCTATACACTGCACACACTACGCTGTAAGCTACGCTATACACTACACAGACCACGCTATAACTCCACCACTATACCTCCGATTAGCACGGTTGGCTACGTGTGGCGAAGAGATGTGGTAGGGTTGGATGCCTGGTAGGTGGGTTAGTGAGGTGGTAATGGGTTAGTGGGGTGGGTGATGGGTTAGTGGGATGGGTGATGGGTTAGTGGGGTGGGTGATGGGTTAGTGGGATGGGTTAGTGGGGTGGGTGATGGGTTAGCGAGGTGGGTGATGGGTTAGTGGGATGGTTGATGGGTTAGTGGGGTGGTTGATGGGTTAGTGGGATGGTAGGTAGGTTAGTGGGGTGGGTGATGGGTTGGGTTAGTGGGGTGGGTGATGGGTTAGTGGGATGGTTGATGGGTTAGCGGGGTGGGTGATGGGTTAGTGGGATGGTTGATGGGTTAGTGGGGTGGTTTATGGGTTAGTGGGATGGTAGGTGGGTTAGTGGGGTGGGTGATGAGTTAGTGGGGTGGGTGATGGGTTAGTGGGGTGGGTGATGGGTTAGTGGGATGGTAGGTGGGTTAGTGGGGTGGGTGATGGGTTAGTGGGATGGGTGATGGGTTAGTGGGATGGGTGATGGGTTAGTGGGGTGGGTGATGGGTTAGTGGGGTGGGTGATGGGTTAGTGGGATGGGTTAGTGGGGTGGGTGATGGGTTAGTGAGGTGGGTGATGGGTTAGTGGGGTGGGTGATGGGTTAGTGGGGTGAGTGATGGGTTAGTGGGGTGGGTAATGGGTTAGTGAGGTGGGTGATGGGTTAGTGGGGTGGTGATGGGTTAGTGGGGTGGGTGATGGGTTAGTGGGGTGGGTGATGGGTTAGTGGGATGGTTGATGGGTTTGCGGGGTGGGTGATGGGTTAGTGGGGTGGTTAATGGGATGGTAGGTGGGTTAGTGGGGTGGGTGATGGGTTAGTGGGGTGGGTGATGGGTTAGTGGGGTGGGTGATGGGTTAGTGGGACGGTAGGTGGGTTAGTGGGGTGGGTGATGGG